TTAAGGACTTCCTTAAAGACTCTTAATCAGTGCGCACCCACCGCCAGGTTTCGGACCCAGGTCCTTCTGGTTATAAGGCGAACTCCTAGACTACTATGCCACTATGACGCACTTCAATGGTCATTCCATGAATTCCAACTTCTTCCAATTCACGATCTGGCGCGATATTCAACCAATGTCACTGGCGAGTATTTGTCCTCACACTCAACCTTGGATTGGGCCTCAGCGACTTAAAAGTCTATGAGCTCTCCTCGTGACGAGAAGATACTGGGTCTTACCCTTGGTGGTGGGTGCGTACTGATGAGGCAAAGCCCAAAACTAAGACAAAACAGATGTCCAGTACACCCAGGTTTGCCAGTGATGCTCTGACCGATATCAGCTCATGATGAAGTCCTCCAACCAATCAAAAGTTATTTGTTATAACTTTAAACCTGCCATGTTAATCCAATTTACAGCGAAGGTTCAATTTGCTTCATAATATTTTCAACGAGTTCTTTCTTTTTTCTTCCTTTGTTTTCTTCCTTCCTTACCCAAACCTTTGCGTTATCTCCCTACACATGATTTGTGATCTTGACCTGTACACAATCTGACCTGTTTTGTAACAACTGATGCCTTCCTGCCTTCTATGAAACTGTGTATGACAAGTACGTGTGTGATAAAAATGTCCGAAATGTGTTGCGCAAATAGATTACACTTTTCAGGTAAACTACGTCTTCTTATTGTGTGGTTGCAATTCATAAAGGGAATGAATTGCTTCAGAAAAACAAATATTTCTTTTTTTTTAAATCCCTTTGAGAATGAAAATTTATAAGACTAAGTTTTCAGTGGTTCTATCGATGATGTCAGTTCCTAAGATATGCTGTGAGATCAATCATTCAACACAATTCATAAACAGCTTAAAAGAGAATAAATAGTTGCGACTCGAATACTTAAGTGGAATATTACAATACTGAACTATATGACAAAGTCTTTGACTGCATGGAGGATTTCATCGTGAGCTGACATCAGTTAGAGAACCACTGAAAAACAAGCAGGGAGTACTGGACAGCTGTTTCCTAAACCTAGTTTGGGACTCTTCATCAATGCACACCCACCAGAGGAGTCCAAACCTAGGACCTTCTGGCTACAAGGCGAGCTCGTAGACCATTAAGCCACTGGAATCTAATCCAATGGTCCTTGAATTCTAACTTCTGCCAATTCACGACATAGCGCGACCATTTCGCAATGTCTTCTTTGTTGAGTTAATGCCTCATATTCAACCTGCTGTAAACTACTGGTCACGGCTTCTCACTAGAACCCCAGGTTAACTGCCTGAATAGGGCCAGTCACTAGTGAGCATCAGAGTAATATTCAAGTATTGGTTTTGTGGGGATTTTGCTTGATTGGATGGAGGATTTCATCATGAGCTGACATCAGTTAGAGAACCACAGGAAAACCTCAATGGCCTACGAGCTTGCCTTGTAATCAGAAGGTCCTAGGTTCGAACCCCGGTGGATGCGTACTGATGAAGACTAAACAGCTGTCTAGTACTCCCAGCTTGTTTTCCAGTGGTTCTCTAACTGATATCAGCTCATGATGAAATCCTCTATGCAATCAAACAAAATCTCGACAAAGCCAATACTTGAAAAGTCTTTGACTGTTTGACTGAACTATGTAAGAAGGTGTTCCTTTTTGTTCTTTTGTATTTCCGATGGAAAACAGAACTTCAAGATTCCACTTTAAACTTCAGTAACAGTGGTGTTTATTTTTCACAGGATGGGGTTGCTAGCCTCACACTTAACCTACCTTCTTTATCAGGCTTACTACCGACCAAGTGAGGTTAAGAAGTACGTCAACCGCGGATCAAACCCTGGACCACAAAAGGTGTGGTAGGCAAGCGTTCTACCGCTGAACCGATGATTCACATGCAAGGAGGTCTAGACTGCCTGACTGGAATCTTCGGGGTAAGAAGAACTAATAGATGGAAGCTTTGAGTCATATAGTTTAAGACCTTTCTCATTAGCATTCTTTGTGATCTCCAAGGTCCATTAAATCCTGATGTTTTTCTTGTCACTACCCCTTCTCCAATACGATTTTGCTCTTTTCCTTCTTTTTCTTTCTTCCCCACCTATGTTTACTATATGGAGCATGACAACTTGAACAGCTTCCCATCTGTGCAAAGTTCTTTGTTGAAATTCACTCAGTCAGTTAGTAAGATGGTGCGTTGAACAAGCATTTTACTCAAATTATTGCCCAAATCTTCTGTGCATATATAACTCAAAGGAAATTTTTCACAAATCGTAACATTTTACAAAGTAACAGTTTGTGACAACTACTAGTAGGATGATGAACGAAAACAAATAGTCAACAAGTTTATACAACTGACAAACACAATTAGTCATTTATTATTATCATTAGTAGGTTACATTAGATAAATTTAAACAAGTACTACTCGTTTTCCGGAAGTGAGTAATTACATCAACATCCATCAATATTCCATTGTATGATAAGTTTCAAAAAACTGCTCGCTCTCGTCAGCTTTCCATTACATAACTGACAGTATACTGAAAATGAGTTAAAAGCAATTCGTTTCAAAATTCGTATTGACTGATGTATAAATTTACGCCAAGAGTATCTTGGATTTCATATATTTTGAAGGATTTAAATGGAGTTTGTTATTTCTATAATAGTGAATCCATACTCCAAAAGTCAATGTTTAAAACAACACTTTATTGTGGAGTTATTCAGCCGATCTTATAAAAACTTTAGGATCTTAATAAGGTGATTTGTCTTATAGTCTTTTTCATAACCTTTTAATATCACTTGGAAGACACATTGCGCAGCTGTTTCCTCCCCCCCTACTAAGCCTTTTACAAGTTATCTTCGTCCTACTTACATTATTATTCTTACTACTTCATTTCTAATTACTTATTACGTAATCTATGTCTTAATTACTCCTTAATTTTTTTCAAAATTACGCACTATGTAATCCATAATTATTTCAACCTCTTTAATTGTTATGCCATTTTCCTAGGTTGATTACCACCTCGTTGATATTTTAATATTCACTAAGTTTTGGCTGATGCCACAGCGGTAGAATGATCGCCAACCACGCCTCATGAGGCTCGGGATTCGATCCACGGCCGACACACTCCTTTACCTCACTAAGCCAGTAATACGACTGGTAAAGAGGGAAGGGTGGGTATGAGGCTGACAACTCCATCCCGTAAAAATAAACACCACTGCTAACGAAACTTCAAGCCTGTAGCTTGAAGTTTTATATTCCACTGGGAATGTAAAGAAGTAAATAAAATTATGAAAAAGTATTGTTCATTAATTTATCGCTACTAGGGAAAAGTTAAACTATGATAGCCAAAACGAAAGTGACCTTGAGCAACCAATCAGAATTCAGATGCAAAAGTCGCATAATCGTTGAAAAATGCATTGAAAAACATTGCAAACATGATATTCCACTATATAGTTATCGATTACGTGTTGCAAGAATGTCTTCAAGTCACTACAGAAATCATGCCATGCGTGATAGATGCATTCATCCAGGTGACTGTAGACCATGATGCCTTGAGATCTATTGATATTTCTGACACTGTTCTTTAACCTACTCCTAACTCTAACAATAATCCTAACTCTTAAACCCATTTTTAACCCTAATCCTAACCCTAACACTGGAACCTAAACCTTAATCTTAAAAGCCATAACCCTAAGTGAAAGTATAGATTTACATAAAATGTACCTAGAGAATAAGTAAAATACTCTATCTACCTTCTCTGAGTCCGGAAAGGCAGACAAAATTTGATTTTGCATGACCTTTCGCAGCATTCTCTGTATCTGACTGGTTTTTGGAGGTCAACTTTCGAAAGACCTTGACTTTGGCTTTGATGCTTTAACTTCGCCACTACTAGACTGGTGAATTTTTATGCAATGTGTTAAAAATGCTTTATGTATATATATATACTATAGTGGGACAGTAGATGAAGATCTATCTAGGTCAAAAGTAAATATTTCTCTGCTCGACCTTTTTATCTTCAATATATTTCTTCCTTGTTTTGGACTTTTCAGTACTGCACCGTAATCATCCAGCTAGAAATCGAACCTAACATTTGTAAGTTTAATCACGGACTGATATCAGTTAGAGGAGCACTTAAGATTAGGGAATAGGGGATAGCTGTTTCGTCCTAGTTTCGAAACTCATCCACCAGCTTTCGAACCGAAGAACTTCCAGCTACTAGGCGGAGATAGTAGACCATTCAGCCACTGAGATCCGACTTAATGGTCTATGAATTCCACCTTCTACTAATTCATGATTTCAGCACAACTACGCACCAATACTATCGACGAAAATTTCGCCTTACGCCAGTCCGGATGGATCCAACCTCTCATTAGAATTGCAGTTACTAGGGAACATCAGATTAATATTTTAGGATACAATATGAAGATTTTAGAATCTAAATGACCATTAGTGACTGGCTTTGAAATAAATATCCTGATGATGTAAAGGACATGTTTTTAGTCTTAATTAAATTAATATGAAGAAGTAGGGAAAACTGCCGAGGATAAAACATATATATTTATCTTGTTTATAATATTCTTTTGTTTTCCAGACTCTCAGTATTAATTAATCACACTTGTCATATTTTGTTCCTTTGTTTTTTCTAAATCTTTAAATCAATAGTGACTTTAAACTGTGTTCACTGAGATTTGAAAAACAAAACTGATTAACTAATGAACTATCAACGAAACTTCTTTCTACTTATATTGCGGATTATTCACTTTAAATGGAGCGCTTTAATTCCTATGACTTCATCTCATTAACTAAGATGACATTAGTTAGTTTAAACCTGAAATGTAAATTAGAGAAGGCAAGTATTATATTATTCAGTTCCCCTACTTAAGAAGAATAGGGGTAACAGAAAGGTTAGCAATTAAATTACATAATTAAATGAAAAAAAATAATAGTTTAATAAAAAAAAATATATAAATTCATACTGACATTGTATACTTACTTAAATGCAGGTCCACGAGGATCAATTTGATCAATTAAAGGAAAACTGGTTAATTCTGAAGAGAATTGATTTGGTATTGAAGATGTCAATGTGAATCCATAGCCTATGTATTCATAAGGTTCAAGAAGTACTTCAACTTCTTCACATCGACATGCTGCTGTTGGTGTAGTAGTACCTGGTGTTACTGATGATCTCGAACGATAAGATTTTAAACAGTCTGTTGAATAAATATAAGGAAAAACTGGTAAATATTAATAATGCAGACTTGATATGTATGTGTATATATGCATTCGTTGGCTTTCTGAGTGAAGCACACGGCTATAAGCCTAAAGCTTTGAAGTTTCCGCGAGGTGTTGTTGTTGCCCTCAAGACTATGCTTCTCTCTTTACGGGACTCTCTTACTACTGACTAGTCGAGGTTAAGGTGTGTGCTGGTAGGGAATCGACTACATCAGTGGGTGGTGAAAATTCTCCTCCCGAACCACTAACGCACGGGTAACACAGGTTAGTTAACTTCAAAAACCTCGTCGTGTAAATGTCTGGCAAGAACTTTTGTTGCTACTGAAATTGTGGAGAAAAAGACATCATAGAGAGCATTACTCAGGTGTCTGAGGAATCAGATAGTAAATTCCGTGATTCGACTATTTCTTGTTGTTTTTTTATTGTTGTATTCAAGAATAAAAATCCGTTGATTAAGTTCGGGTGTCCATTAACTTTACGGATAGATAATAGAGTTTACCGAAGAATGAATATATGCGATAGCTTTCCTATTATCTGTCAGCAGATTATTTTGTTATTAATGTGACCAAGAATTTCACAGGCTGTTAGTTTACATTATAATCTTTCACAAGGTATTTCATTATGCACTTATCCCACAATACCACCTGACCCTTACCAAAAGGTGAAAGCCATACCAAATCGATAGCTTTGTGGTTTTATGATATCAAAAAGAATTCATGTTAAATTTCTTTTAAAAAACATCCCAGTTGAATGAAATAGGTGTTGAGTTATCATCACCAATCGAATCACGCTGAACTGATCGACTGAACACTGTGGTTTATACAATGTAGGCATAGGCATTCAAGACTATTCATTAATTGGTTTCGGTAATAAGGTTTCTGTATACATCAGCCTCCTTATAAACTTTCAGAATGAATAGTAATGAATACTACTCAGACAAAAAATGGTTAAAACATAGATAAAATACATTATTTACAAATATAAGAGCCAAAAACTAATATATGTATATTTTTCTCCTTGATATTGTTCTGAATAGCAATCTATGGCCTTTTCATTTGGAATTCACGCCTAAGCTAACCTAATCCAATCAAATTGATTATTTGTTTAATATCACAATAAGAAGAGAAGATATTTTGTGAAAAGTGTTCAAAAATGCCATTTTAGCGATTTGCTTATTTATGTCATGTAACAAATCATCTGTGCACACCAGAGAAACAAAAAAAACAATTATTAATACTCGCTGAAGTGAAAAACTAGTTTAACGCAGAAAAAACTTCTTTTGCTGTGTTATCTTCACATAAAACCATCTGCGTCAAAATGAACAACATACTTAATTAAGCCTTTGGCTCAGGTGTGTTTTCTAAGCTGAGTTGTTTAACTACGAAGATATTTTCGTCTACCTAGACAACATCTTCAGCGCTGACTTCAATGTAAAGTGAGCTTTAAGAATGACTCAATAGCGAAGTACCCATCTCTTCTTGTAATCCTGACTGTGATTAGTCGTCTCTAAGGATTTTCTTGATTGCATATTGTTTTGTATTGATATTGATCATTTCTATTACCCAACAGCTAATCTTTCGATTTTGTGCCTTTCTGATGATTGATTGATACATTTGGTCAATATCCACTTGTCCGTGTAATGCAAACTAGTCTAAGTACCAAGCGTCTTGGAATTCATAGACATTCTTCCTTTCCTTTCTTTCTAGGTTTTTGACATTTTCCCAGTTAAATTGATATTAATAGTTGTACATATGAATTCGTTTGAGTGTAAGGGGAGGGAACGAAGAATTCGACTGTTTACACTACCTGTTTAAACCATCATGGTTTACACAAGAGATAAGGATTATAGGTTGGTAAGTGGACCTTGGTATAACGTTTAAGTTATCATGGCAGGAAGAACCTTTTCCATATTACTGATTTACGTAACAACTTTCTGGTTGGCCACGGTTGACTAGAGTACATGGGGCGTGACCGGAGAAGTGATTCTAAACACCAAATGTACAAACCATTCTCTATAGCTAAGCGACAAATTACTCTACTCTTGAAGACTAGTTCTTGTCTTGTTAAAGCATATTCCAGAAAAATCAGAGAATTTAAATTCATAACAATTTAAAATAGTAACAATATTCACACTGATGCATTACCTGAATTACTTTGTATTGGTTTCTCTGAATTCACAATAGCATTTGGTACAATTTGTAGGCGTATAACATTTAGACCGTTATTTTTTAGTCTATACATTGCTTCTTGTAATTTCATATTCTCTACACAAATATCATCTATAGATTCAACGCGATCACCTTCAAATAAGGCTCCGCATCTGGAATAAAAAAACAGAATGAAATCTACATGAGGTCTGAATGAATAAGAATATCAAGTGTATTGTGAATAAGATTTACTAATGTAGACTACGCTTTAACCACACAGACTGTCCACATTGTATCCCGGGCTGACGAACTCCTAGGCCTCGTCTAGTTTACTAGACAACAGTAACTGTAGTCAGGAAAGAAGGTCGATCATGAGGTTGCCAAGTGAAACCTCTAAAAACAACACTACAGCTAATAAAACCTCCCAGCAAGAAGTAATATATTCCACTCAGGACTCATAGAAATAAAAGACAGCTGAGAAAAAAACTTGATTCGTCAATGAAATATAAACTACAAACTTCTAAATGATTTTCTAATTTCTAAATTATGTAATAGGATAACGAATTTCAAATATTATAACAAAACTTTGAGTTTGTATAGTTAATTATACTTAGTAGTAATTTTTATGGTGTAATTTGTAATGAAATGACATCGTCACGAACCAACGTTACTTAGAGAGTCACTGCAAACTAGAAAGCACTGGACAACTGTTTCGTTCTAGATCACGACTCTTTAGCCGTGCACATCCACAACTCAAACACGGAACAGACCTGAAATCTTCAGATTAAGACACTTCGGCTTGGATTCCTGACTTATGATTTGTAACTCTTTCAGCTCGGGATGAAGCGCCATCGCCAGCCAGTACGACTATGAACATATACTTCATCTTGATATTGTGGTACTCAGTGGTCATGATTTCTCCCAAAAACTTCAGTTAGGATTCACCGAACCCACACCCATGTGACTGAGTGGCCAGACATTTTGGCACTGCAACCTAAGGGTCCGTGGTTTGATCCCTGCTGGAGTTGTGGATGCACGCTGTTGAAGAGTTAAAGACTAAAACGAAACAGCCGTTCAGTGCTCCCTGGTTTTCAGTGATGTCTCATGTAATGCTGATCCTTAAAGAAAGCTACACTAAAATTAATCGAAATCCTTTCAAAACTCATAATCTTAAGGCAATAGCGTTCAATAAGTGCATAGGTGTGATAGCGAAACTGCATCATATAATAAAGTCGAAATCCCATCATGTCCGAAATTTAAAAAATTCTACTGCATCCTTCTACTTGGTGTATTACGAAATTAGTCCATTAATAAACAATTAGAAGTGTGAAACTTTCTTATGATAATTCTCAGTGCCATATATGTCACACTTATTAATTTAGATGGAAAATTTAGTTATCCGAAGGTGACGAATAAAAATTTAAGCAAGTGGTTGCAACTGCACTGAAGTAACTTTTTAATAAAAGTATATTTTACAATAAGATTTAAATATGAACTATATTCTAACTTAAAGTCATTCGATTTATCGTTATCAGTTGCATTGACACCCAGTTGCCGTATCCACTGAGTTACTTGTATAAAAAGCAGAGTGGAATTACCAGATTTCGTTCCTGTTGGGACTCGTTAGCATGGCACATTTACAATATCAAAGAAACTGTTGTCCCCTCTGAGATTTAAGTCTGTGCCGTACAGTACTGTAGTCAGAAATCTCGCCAGTGAACTATTCGGGCTCGTGATTGACTTTATTTAGGACTGTAGTTATGAAGACATATATTGACAATTGCGGAGACACTAATGTCATGTGTCCCTGTTGAATGAATACTGTTAGTCCAGTTTTAGACATGCTCTCCAAAATTAGGTGATGGGCTAGAGTAGGGCACTTAAAGGTGGTATTAGGTGGTTGAAGGTTGACACAAAATTAATCGATACTAAGATGATAGTCTCTAGGCAATCACTGAGTCACTAGTAAAAAAAAAACATTCCTCTTAAATTTTACTTTCTCATTCATCTGTAATAATGGAAAGTTTACACTAACTTCACTCCAGCTTAAAACGTCAAGTTTTAGAAAATATACCATAGATCTGTACAAATTTATTTCTCAAAGAAGTTTAGATATAGTCGAAACACGATTCAGGTTACATTCTGTCTTTGAATTCCGTGACAGATTGTCTTCCTAACAGACTACCCTATCCTAACATCATTTACTTTTCAAAATTCCTCACAATCTTAAGAACTATGCATTTTAAAGGCAAATAGATGACGTGATTTCTTACTGAAGTTTCTTAGGGTTTTTATGTTGTATACTAAAATGAATTTACCAAGATACTTTCCATGGGGTGAATTGCACAATGGAGTGAAAGTAATATGAGGCTTTTTCAGAAGAGTTGCCTGTATGCTTGAAGAAATTCAAAAAACTAAACAAATACATATGTTTGACTGACTGCTTACGGGATTTCATTATGACCTGAAGTCGGTTAGAGAACCAGTGGAAAACCAACACAGAGTACTGAAAACCGCTGTTTCCTAAGTCTAATTTGGGACTCTGTCTCATCAGTACGCACTCACCACAGGGTTTTCAACCCATGACCTCCTGGTTACAAGGCGAGTGACCTCGTAGACCATTAAGACAATGGAACCCGATCCAATGACCAGCCCATGAATTATAACTACTGCCAGTTCATGACATAGTGCGACCTCTTAGCAATGTCTTTTTCGATTAGTAACTCTACTCACCTTCAACCTGCTGTACCCTACTTATCACTGCTCCCCACTAGAATCCCGGGTTAACTGCCTGAATAGGGCCAATCGCTAGTGAGCATCAGATTAATTTTCAATATTGGTTTTGCAGGGATTGTATTTAGTTGGTTGGAACGTTTCATCATGAGCTGGCATCAGTTAAAGAACCGCTGAAAAACCTACAAGGAGTACTTATTTATAAAAACAAGGCTCGTAAAACCTTAATTTCCTGTGACTACTGTTAGTATCTATATTCCTATCAGCTCACCGATTTTCATATCTCCCTGACTTTTTTGCCCTTAACCACTGGATGATCATAAAAGGCACATTAAATTGAAGATGAAAATCAACTTTAGTCAAAAAAACAAATACACGGTGATTAGTGACCATCAGTCAGTATACACTATCCTTGCAATTACTTCTGCTAGTATATAAAATATTTGCATAATAAAATATTTCGAACTCTTATAAGGTACTTATATTTGTGTTGGTGTTTGCTTCAATCTCTTTATCAGAATGGCTTCATTCACGTTAAGATTTAATGAAAACCGTAACCTATGATAATATTTTATTTTTGTTTCAAAGTGGCGAGCAATTTCATACTTTATCAGTGGTATTTTTCTAGAGTTTAAGCAGGCAGTCATTTGAATAAATGAAAATACGTATTCCGTAATGCATGCTAACATCATTCATGGCAATCATCTATACCAATGCCAAGGGGATCAGATTACTTCATTCCTCTTATATGACAAAATACATTTATTTTCAAATTCACTTTTCAAGCAGAAACATCTTTTGATGATTTACTGCACATCAACAACTTGCAGACAGTCTTTTGAACCAATTAACAAATTCTGAAATCACTCGTAAGATAATAGTCTGCATACTGAAGTATTCTGCTGGTGAGACAATTTTCAGACGGACTGAAATGTCACATTTTGAAGTGTTAGCTGGGAGAAATTCGACTGTCTGCAAGTTTACTGACTAGGTGGTATCGTTTAGAGGACCACTGAAAAACCAGGGAGTACTGGAAAGCTTTTTTTATCCTACCTAGGGACTCTTCACCACTACGCACCCACCGAGATTCAAATCCAGGAGCTTCTGGTTACATGACGAGCTTGTAGGTCATTCAGCTACTGTGACTTTATCCAATGATCCATGAATTTCAACTTGTGCCAATTTGCAATATGTAGCACAGCCTTTAGCTAACGTTTTAGGCGGGTAACTGCACTCTTACCTGACTTGTTGAACCTCGCTAGTCAGGGCTTCTTAACAGAATTAACGTCAGAAAATTGACCTGATGTTCACTGATAACTTCCTCTATAAAGGACGTTGCCTGGAGTCCTAGTAAGAAGTCGTAACCCGTGGGGTCTAGCAAGTCAGGTAAGAGTGCATTTACTCGCCTACGACGTTGGCTAAAGGTTGCACTACATATTTCGAATTGGCACAAGTTGAAAGTTATGGATCATTGGATAATGTCACAGTAGCTGAATGATCTATGAGCTCGCCATGTAACCATAAGTTCCTGGATTTGAATCCCCGTAGGTAAGTGTTCATGAAAACTCCTTAAGTAGAACGAAGTGTCTCCACAGCATTCTCTGGTTTCTTAGTAGTCCACTAACCGATGTCACCTTCTTAACAAATTTTGAATGTGATGCATTTGAATATGCTTAGTTAATAGCGTCTATTTAAAAATCCAAAACATATATTTACTTTATTTATCTAAAGCAAGGAGATCAGTCATTACTTATATGTTATGAAATTTCTATTCTTACTACATGATACAGGATACATTTCATATGATACCTGGCAGTAAGAAGTAACATTCCACTAAGGGAAATTTATTCAAAGGTACAGTGTTTCCTTAAATTATTCAATCATCAACATTTTGTAGGAGTAACGTCTGCAGAGTTATTATCATCTGCCTAATCTCAAATATATATATATATATATATATATGGGGAGAGAGAGTCATTACACCGAGGGCACCACTGCATTAATAAGAAGTTAGTCTCCCACAACCATGTAAGTTTCGGTAATATTATTACTGCATATTACGTGAAAATTGATATGATGCTCACTAGTGACTGACCCTATTCAGGCAGTTACCTGCGGTTCTAGTGGGGAGCAGTGACAAGTGGGGTACAGCAAGTCAAAGGTGAGGACAGTTACTCACCGAAGAAGACATTGCTAAGTGGTCGCACTATGCCGTGAATTGCCAGAAGTTAGTATTCATGGGCTGGTCAATGGATCGGGTTCCAGTTGCTTAATGGTCTATGAACTCGTCTTGTAGCCAAAATGTTCTGGGTTTGAACGCTGGCGGTGGGTGCATACCATTGAAGAGTCCCAAAATAGGCTGACAAAATAGCTGTTCAATACTACCTGTAGGTTTTCCAATGGTTCCCTAACCGATTTCAGCTCATGATGAAGTCTTCCAACCAGTCAAACAAAATCCCTACAAACCAATACCTGAAAATATTGTTACTGTTATGTTTTTCTTTTCAAACTACAAAGCATATTTATCACCAAAAGTTACATATTTTTGCCTTTTTCTTAATGTGACATTTTTCTTTGTTTTTTCAAATACATAAACGTAGATAAATGACTCCAGATTGTTTATTTTCCTTCAGTCATATTTAAGCTTTATTATAATTAATAGTCCTGAAATGATAAACAGATAAGAGTTTCAGTGACACGTGTTACAAATGTTTTTTTAAGGAAGTTTTTCAATGTTAATGATTCATTTGAAAACTGCCAATTTTTCAAATCTACTATATAATTAACTGCAGGCGGAGGTGAACTTGTGACCCAATGGAATGTGTAAAGAAGTTTTGTTTTTATATTGGAAAAAGGAAACGATACATGTGGATACCAGTTCTATAATCCTTACATGATTCATAAAAAGACCTTATTCAGAATGAATGATTCTCTTTCTAGTGGAGTAAAACTCTAACAGTTCCACTGTAGAAAGGTACGATACATGTAGTTCAGCGATAATGACAACTCATCACTGTTGTTACCATCCGTTTTCGTGAAAAATTGGAAATATAAGTTTGACTGTACAGCTAAAATGATAATAAATTTGCTGAAAGTAACCTATTCTCTGAACTACTTGTTTTTTTCTTTTTATTATTGCTTAAATGGGGGAATATTCGTGAGTTAATTCATAAGCAATACTATTAAACTGAAATAGGGTGGTATAAAGTTCTTTACATTTGTAGTATTGCAACATGTGTAATTGTACTGCCTGCAAATACTTTTCCCCGTTCTTTTTACTTTCCCAGTGGGATATAGGGCTTCATGCTTTGAGATTTCTGCAACCCAGTCTACGGACTAGTGAACCAGGCGAGGTTTTGTGAGCACGTCGATCATAGGTCGTATCTGGATCCCCTGGGTGGTTGGCGGCCATTATCCTATTAAACCACCTGGATGGCTTGGTGAATATTTCTTTAACTGCAACACTGGGTGACGCAATTTCAAGTCCAAGATGTGAAATCAATTCTTTCCGGGTTCTGGACGTGCCTTGCCTGGCAGTATACAGCGCATCAAGAATTCTTCAAAACACTGATATTCAGTATCTAAAGCGTCAATAAATGATTGCAGTTCTGATGACCGTGAAACAGTGAACCAAGTGTAATTTAACCACGAAATAATCAAGTAATGTAACGTTTGTAAATCATGACAACTAGCAGATCAGTTATCTCTTAGGGTGAGTAAATCTCAAAGATAAACACCTGGATCCATGTAGGCCATCAGGTGCCTTTTACTGATCTTTCAATTCTTCAAATTTCAAACCTTAATATAGAAGATAAATTCACTAGGATAATAGACCAGCATTTCTAAAACAAGAATGTACTGTATTTAGTTACAGTATACTTTTTGAAACAGTCTTGTCTGAAAACTGGAAATTTCTATTCAACGATAATGTTGTGAAATAATTGTTTGGAAAAACCCTCCTCAGTGATCTAATCACAGTATTTGTACTTATCTGCAGTCTTTAATTAACTTTCCAGTTTGAATGGTTGGAGGATTTCATCATGAGCTGACATCAGTTAAAGAGCCATCGGAAAACCTAGAGGGAGTACTGGGCATCCGTTTCGTCCTAGGTTGGGACTCTGCTTCACCAGTACGCACCCACCACAGGGTTTTGAACCAACTACCTTCTGGTTACAAGGCGAGTGACCTCGTAGACCATTAAGCCACTGGAACTCGATCCAATGACCAGCCCATGAATTCTAACTTCTGCCAGTTCATGACATAGTGCGACCACTTCGCAACAACAGTTGTCCAGTACTCCCTGCTGGTTTTCCAATGGTTCCCTAAATGATATCAGCTCATGATGAAATCCTCCAATCAATCAAACAAAAACTTCCTTACAAAAACGAATATTTGGAAAATAACTTTCCAGTTGTTGTCCGTTTTTCTCCTCCACTCCATACCATCCCTCTCACATTTGCATATCATCTCTTGACTTCATCCTTATCATTTCTCATTGTCCCTGCTCAGCCTGCAATTTCAATGCTTCTCCCCATGGTTGTGCAATCCCATGAGAATGTGCTGTTTTACTGTGTGATTTTATTTGAATAAATCGAGGTCATTCTTCCCTTAAAGTGTCTCCAGGAAGTAGGGCTGTGTGATTCTTGTGGACAGAATTTCAATTCCACCTTGTTGGGAATACTCCACCCGACTGTAAGGTGCTTCCTACACTTGAATTTCGCTTAACTAATTCCTTGTTCAACAGTGCTTGATTTTTACCTAGAAATTTGTCTAGTCTGTACAGCTGGCTAACAGGACTGTTGAGGTAATTTTCAGTTTTTGTTGTCAGTATTGTTGAATGGAACCATATAGATTTATTGACAAATAATCGTCTTCTTGATGTCTTAGAGCACTTTTTGACTGTGTGTGTCTCAAGGAAGATCTGGACAGCTGTATAGTAGGAGGCAGAAATAGATACCCCACATTCAAGCCACACCGAGTTAGTTTTGGTTATAACTGATGATGTAACTGCCACATCCTGTACATACAGACTAGGGAACTTCCAATCCTTGACAAAGCATGTTAATCTTAGCTGTTTTAGTGAAACTTAACAGTTCATTACACTTTTTTGTTACTTTATTCAACAACTATCATATATTGCCATTCTTCTACATTATTTACAAAAGTTAACCTTCCATGCATTATAATGTCTACTGTTGTATCTTGCATCTTGTGTAGAGGTATGGAAAGTTTGTAGCTCAGTAACAGAATGGCAGTTATTCATGTTTTCCAACGTTTGTTAATGTTAATAAATGACTTATTCATGTCTGAGTTTTTTTCCGACATTATGGATAAAATTTTACTTTGGCAGGGTCACACTGTGTTACTCAGTAATGTGTATTGATGATGTTTCGAGCACAAATTATTGGTCATAATCATATCAGGGTACTCACATAATTGCCTTGCTTCATTTATATACATGAGTAAAAATTGATCAGACATTTGAATAAAATCAATATAAAATAAAGTACGATCAAAACGAATATTAATGTTATCAGTAAAATGCAATAAGATGAGAGGAGTGAGATTATTAGAGCATAAGAATTTAGCTAAGTTTAGAATGGCTGATACCACGAAGATAAGTAATTTAGGAAAAAAACTCAGCTATAGCAGTGCGTGCATTAACACACAACCACACAATAGGGTGTGTGGGATAGAGTTAATATTCTAAAAAGTAATATATGTAGGTGGAAAGAGAAAGATTGATTACTGAATCCTGGTTCATCGAATCTACACCCAGAAATGTATTTACACCTTTGACCTAATTCCCTCACCGGATATAATTTCTTTAAAAATACCATATATATACGATTGTACAGCTTGATAATAAATTCGTTGAAAAGAGTCTCTTCGCTGAATACTGTGTTCTTAACCCAGAAATGACTCAATGCAAATACCAGAAATATGGAAGATATTATTACCACCAGTCAGTCAAATCAGAGGAGGATAATAAATAATCTTAAAATTCTATTTCAATTCACATACATCATAACATTCTAACAAGTTACTAATTTTGACTATAAAAACATCTTATTTCTCATCTGATTGTATTTGATTGATAACACTAATATTATTTCTGAATACACTTTATCTTATATTGATTTTATTCAAATGTTTAATCAGTTTTTACTCATGTATATAAATGAATCAAGAAAGTTGCGTGTGTGACTACCTTGATATGATTATTAGCAATAAATTGTGCTCGAAACGTCATCGGTAAATATTACTGTATAAAAGTGTGACTTTTTCAAAATAAAAATTTTATCCATAATGGAGTTATAATCTACCACAGTGACCAAGTTTTATCCTTTTTTCCGACTTGTTTATACCTGCAATGTAATGCATAATTAAGCTTACTGCTTCCAAAAGAGGAGCATTTGTTGGATATATATCATAAGTTGGCATATGATTCTAGTAAAAAATGTTGATAAATATTTTTGAAACCACTAGCCCTGCCTTGATCATAAATGTCACTGTCCCATTCACATTGAAAAAAAATATTTCGCGACAATGTTTTCATGTCATCAATCTTACAATTAACGTGTAGTGGAAACTGACATCTCAACGGGCCAAAACATTTATGTGAATGGTAGATTGAGAGAGTAGATGAAATCAATAAAATGTCATTTTTTAGGAAAACAAGTTATTTCATATGAAACCTTTTTTAAAAGAAATTGTTATCTTGGTATTATAGTAAGCAGATGTCTCAGTGTGGAAAACTCTGACGTAAGACAGCTGTTTTGTCTTCTTTCTAAGTTGAATAAAATGAAAATTTTTCAGAAATATTTCTTTCTTTCCAACTTTTAGACAGTAAAACTTATTTCATATTCAAGTACAATGAAATGGTTGTGAATAAGATAAACCCCGGTGAGTGCGTACTGATGAAGAATCATAAACTAGGGTGACGAAACAGCTGTCTAGTACTCCCTGCAGGTTCTCCAATGCTCTTCTAACTGATATCAACTCATGGTGAAATTCTGTAACCAGTCAATCAAAACCCTACAAATCAATACTTGAAAAACTAATGTCAGGAATTTGCTATGACACTGTAATTAAACTCAACACCTATAATCTTGGAACAATGATTAATTTAACTGATTTACCTGTCTGCTATACTTCCTTGTCGAATGCTATCGATAAAGAAGGCATTCTGCCCTGTTTTCACTTCATGACAAGGAGCCAGACTAATTCCCAAATCTTCATTAGCTGGTTTTTCAATTTCAACAACAACTGCACCTGATATACGCCGATCTTCTTCTACAAAATATGAAATTATAAAATATTGTGAATTAATATACATTTAGGTAAATAAGGCAGATATCTGATGAACAGAGTAACATAAAATTATCTCTACGAAATGTTTTTACTTTTCGTCATTGTCTTTCCACGACCGATGTGTTATTTTCTACAGTTGTTTAAGCACTGACTGCTTCTTTTTTGGACGTTGTCGTAAGAAATTTCCTCACAGAGTCTTAATTTTTCGTCTCATAACCTGGAAAAATATTTCTGAAAGTATGGAAACAACGGCTGTGATTCTATAAATCTAAATATATACTAGCTAATCTCTTTCAAAGAAGATTTCTTAAGTTGGCTTGAATCCAATGCTATTCACCTCAATTTTTGTTCTTCCTATTAACAACAAAATTAATTTATAACTTTTTAACGGTATGCAACATTTTTGAAAACTACGCCAATTTCTAAAGTACATATTCGACGAATTCACTTCTCCAACTGGTTATTAAGAAAACAATGGCAGTGAAACCTTCAAAGTTTGGTCAGTTTCTTACATGTGACAAATTAGTGTACGTATACTATTTCTTTACAGGAATGACATTCTTGTGGAGTTTGATAAGGGTTGCTGTTCAATAATGATGAAGTGACTCACTCGTTGGAAAGCGTTGTGGATCAAATAAACAAAGTTAGGAGAATGAATACAAAGCTTCGCCTGATTAGAATAAATGTATCCAGGTAGTAGTTCACTCACAATCTTATGTCCTTTGAATAACTCAGTAACATGCTGTACACATTCAGTTCTTTTAGAATTCTCCGTGAGCTTATCAGCTATTTTTCTTGGTAACCTTGGACGTAGATCTTAAAACAAGTAACAAAGGTTAATAAAGCAGGATTTAATGAATTCATCAAATTTCGGTAGAACTCGTCAGCTGAATACTCTACATACACAGATATATATATATGTATACTTTTGAAATTACATTGGGAGATATAAGACTGATAAGTAAATAAACTACATTGAATGAGTCATACAGAAAGACAGGTGAGAATGTTTTCCAGGTCATGTTCAAATCGATAAGGGGGAGAGAGAATATGAGAGATCAAAATTAAGATAAAATGCATTACGCTTCAATTACATCACTTAGATAAACAATTAGTCATTAGAGAATATAACAAGAATTGGAAACAGAGTAATATCAATATTAATAGTTGTAATAACAATAACGATAATAATAATGTTGAAAAGAGTTAAGATAATGCTACTGATAAAGGATAGTTTTAAATGAATCAAGAATAATAATAATAATCATTATTATAAGAGGTAGAATAATAAGTAAAACGTACTACCATGGTAGGTTCAGAGTGACGACCATCTCCTTTTGTACACAAAGACCTGGTTTGTAAACTCGAATTGCACAAACCTCTGCAATTGCAAGCATCTTCTTGTTTGTTTGTCTGCTGACAATAGTGAATGACTTGACAGTATCAAAATCATGTTAATAGTCCACAAGATGTTTTGTTTTTGAGGTTTTTGGCACTTTGCATTCAGTTTTTTTCAACCATTTCGGCAAATGCTCCATCATGCAAGTAGACAATCGCCTTTCTGTACGACCTATGTATTTGCTTCCACAAACACACTCAGATTGGACGAAGATGATCATTTCTGGATATTTTCTCATCCTGTAGTCCACTTGTATTGCTACGGATTATTTTGTTGATTTGAAAGTTAACCTTCCGTCCATATGATTTCCTTTTTATGGATAAATAAATCTTATCTATGTCAATGTATCCGTTTATCGCAGATTTATCTAAGTACTAGGCTCCCGAGAAATTTCGGTGTTTCCTTTGTCTAGGTTTTGTATATTACCCCATTTGTATTGGTGTCTGTGGTTATCTTCGTGTATTGGGATTATTATTATTATTCCCTTTGGTTCTAAATGGAACATGGGACTTCAACAACACATCTCAACCTTCTTCTATTTTCTGCCATCCTTTTCGGCTGGGTCCACGATTGTCTATAATCTCTGTTCTCTTCCTTACACGAAATCCTCCATGTTACCCTAGAAAGACCCACTCGTCGATTTCCATTAGGATTCCACTCGAGTAATAGCCTGGTGTGCTATATCATTTGATGGCCTCCTCAATGTATGCCCAATCAATCTCCATTTTCTCCCTCGTATTTTTGAGCAATAGGATCTTGGTTGGTTTGTTCCACTGCAGAGTTTCTTGCTGCTAATTTTTTTCTGGCCGGCTGGCCATTTAATCTTAAATATGAAGCCAGGAAAGGCAGCTGTTGATGAAGGTCTGCCGTAGCCTGTTGGAAATCCTTTTCGTTACAGGCAGGTATTGAGATATGAAAGAATAAATATCGTATTTTTTGACAATAAATTAATTTTCATGGATACGAAGATGAAGATGGCGTCCACTTTGATCTGTATACTGTATTTTCACACTAAAATGTGATCAGTGTTCTTACTTCACTATTCCCTAGCCGTTTATTCACTCCGACAAGAAGAAAGTTGAATAATTAATTTCAAGTAACAAAGGGAATTATTAAATAATTTAGTTGTTTTTAAATTTGTCAAGTAACTACTAGCCAGTCCTTTTAACTATGATTTATATTCCCTGAATAATTAACGTTATTCTTGTAATTGTTTTATACAACTACTTGCATACTGCGGTATTTCATTTATTCTAACAAGAGACTGCATCATTTTATAGTGTAATCATAAAATAATAATGAACGGATTCCAGGTGCCTTAGAATCAAAATAGACTTTCTTTTAGCGGATAATTAAACTACATACACACTGAGAATTATTCTCTATTCGTATAAGGATGATAATGTGTAATTAATTTTTTCCTGTTGACTTTCTATCCTAATTTATTCATTATTCATAAGGCCAATCAGTTGTTCTCTAAGAAATAAAATGAGGTGAAATTTTTTTCCCTATTGCAAATAGAATCTTACTAATAGAAATAAAAAATATCTTTATATATATACGATGACCTTCGCTTCAAGATGTAATTATTACCCATGGATAGCATTAATACTGCTTACTGTAAGATCTGAATAAATTATACGTTATCTTTTTAATGTTAATTGAAGGATTTATCAGAAGCACAGATTCTGATAGGCGGAATCGGATTTTATTCTTGATTTATATACATATATATATATATCTATATTCACTAGCTGAATTCCAATTACTACGATAATTAACTCGACTTATGTGAAAAGCGCTTTTCGTCTCGTTTATCATTTAATTTCATGTCTTGCTAGAATGTTAAGACAGTTATTCAACTAACTTCAGATCGCATGGTTTCGAGCACGCAATCCTGCAGTTGTCACTTGCTGACTAGTCATTGGTCAATGGTCAGGAATTATATTGTCCTGAGATTTTATTATTATTATTGGTTCCTTTAATTCCCAGAGGAAAATAGGGCGTCAGCCACACGTCTCTATTCTGTTCTGTCCTCTGCCAGTGTTTTCATCTGGCTCCACGTCTGTCTACACTAACGAACAACTTGCTGCTTCCTATTCGCGTTCCACTCGAGCGATGGCCTGTCGTGTGGTGTAACTTGATGGTTAGTTTTCTCAGAGTATGGCCAATTCACCTCCATTTCTTCCTACATATTTATTGTATAGTCGGTTCCTGATGGGTTGGTTCGTTCATTGCCAGAGATCCATCCTTGTTGCTGACCTTTTCTGGCCGGCCATCTGATCTTAAGTAGAATTGGGCGAAGACGGCTGCTGATGAAGGTCTCTAGTTTGTTCAAAGTGCTCTTCGTGGTGTGGTGCCAAGTCTCTGATCTGTATAGTAGCACTGACTTCTCATTGGAGTTGGAAATCCGGATCTTATTTTACATGCTGAAGAGTGCCGTTGACCTCCACATAGACTTGAGAGTACTGAAAGCTTGCCTTGCTTCCCCGATCCTCGCTGCTTTGATATCCTCATCACTTCCGTCCGCCTGTAGTTGAAACGATGCTTCCCAGGTAGGTATGTAGAGGAGATTCTTTCAGATTCCTCCCATTTATGCTGATTGTTGTATGTTGTTGTTGCTGTCGCTGTTGTAGCTGGCCAGGAATCTTCATCACCTCTGTTTTTTCGATGTTTACTTGAAGTCCTATCTTTCATGCTTCTTTTGCTAACTTGTCGCTTTTCACTTACATATCTTCCAGTTTGTGGGAAATAATACAAATATCATCGGAGAAATCCAGATACTCCAGGTTTTTTGTATGGGCCCATTTTATGCTTGTCACCTAATCAGCAAGTCAGCTAGCTTTGTGATAATTATATTGCAGACATGACTGTGCGAATTCAGTCAAGATCAACAACACATTAAATTATCTACGTCTTCATGACCAATCTTTGTATCCACTACAATCCTACAGGAGGCCAGTCATTAGTTTTGACTAGCACACAGGTAACATCCCTGACTGCTTCACTAAGTCAAGTGAGTTCCGGTCTCAGAGGAGGCATCATTTTCTCTTTTGAAGTTGTAGATGAGCTAATAACCATGAAACCTAAGTTTAAGGCGTCTTACCAATCGCCTCCAAGCTCGTAAACTGAAGTTCTTTCGGATAACTTCAACAAGGGAAGACGTTTCAGTTGTAATGAGACTGCTGAAATGGTCACATGTCTCATTTATTGAACCACGTAAAACTGATGTATCTGTTTAGGATGGCGAAAAACTACTATACACAACTAGTCTACTTTACTAAATACGTTTACTCAATAACTGGCAGTAAAATAAAGGGATTGCAAGTCACGGTCAGAGCAGTGGCACTTTATTCGCATTATATATGACACAAAACCTATAAAAGACAGCCAAGGAAACCCAAACACCAAGGAAGAAAGACAGATTAAACAATGGGCGAATCATTTCAAAGGACTCTTGAACCGACCACCACCTGCAACCCGTCCAGAAATACCAACAACAGCACGTACACAACTGCAAGTTGACACCAATCCTCCAACGAAAGCTGAAGTCTTGAATGCAGTCAAGCTTCTGAAAGCTGGAAAAGCAGCTGGACCAGATGGAATACCCCCTGAAGCACTGAAAGCGGACCCAGAGACGACAGTAGATATGCTGGCTCCATTATTGCAAAAGGTCTGGAAGGAGAGAAAGGTGACTACTGACTGGAAATCTTCGTCACTCAACATCAGCAACAAAATTCGGATTTTCAATACAAACGTCAAGTCAGTCAGTTCTTCTATACGGATCAGAAACTTGGTGGGTCACAAACAATATTTCCAACAGCCTGTTGCAGATCTTTATCAACAACTGTCTTCGCTGGCTCTATACTCAAGATCAGATGGCCGGAAAGAACCACCAACAAGAAACTATGGGAACAAACAAAACAAGAACCAATTGCCCAACAAATATGCAGGAGAAAGTGGAGATGGATTGGACACTCACTCGCTGAGGAGGCCACTGGGTGACATCGCGCATCAGGCCTTAGCTCGAGTGGAACCCGAAAGGGAAGCGGCGAGTGGGACGTCGGTGCAAGGGTGACATGGAGGAGGTCGTGTGAAGAGGAATTGAAACAGTTTTGACTAACATGGATGCAGGTGAAAAGTACAGCAGAAGACAGAAGCAAGTGGAGACGTGTAGCTAAAGCTCTACGTTCCACTAGGAACCTAAGGGAACAACAAACAACAACAACAATGTATAACACATGATTCAACTCTAAACTAATGAGGCTAAAGTGTTTATTCAGTGAATAAACAGCTTCAGACTAACTTTCATTAAATTAAATTGCGAAATTCATAGACGAAGCTTAACGCATAGTTTCAAGTGTTTAACAATGAATTCCCTCATTTCATGCTTCATTCAGAATTGATACTGTTCTCTTAACTAACATCATTCCATATATACATATATATGCTTATATATGTATATATATTCACTGACATTTATATTACATAATCATATGCTTTTATATAGGAGAAAGAAATGTTAAAGTACAAAAATGAAATTGAAATATTTCCCAGTGGTATTTCCTTTTTCTTTACAGTTTAAAATACACTTTGAACCGTTAACTAAAATTGCATCAATTACTTTAGCAAGTATATATATATACGAATGTATTAATAGAAAAGTTAAGTATAACTAAGTGCATTGATCATAAAAACAAGAATTAATTACACCAAGGCAAGGGAATTTATTTAACGCTTCTTCTACGTCTAGTGACCTTAACAATAATGTCAGTGTAATAATTATTGACTACGTATAAATGTATTCCAAACAACACGGTTAATACATTCATTTAACCATAGATAGATAGATAGAATTCCTTCTAATGGTTAGTAAGAAAGTTCTGAGAAAAAAATATTTTTATAAATATCAAAATGAATTATTATTATTATTATAACGATTACTATTAATATCATATTTAAATGTTTTATCGTTGAAGAGGCTGTAGCTGCCAAATTTATAAAGTTATTTGCCGTAAAAATGCCACTTTATACAATAAAAAAACTAGAATGAAACAGCTATCCAGTAATCCTTGGTCTTCCACAGGGTCTCTAACTGATACCACCTCGTGATCACACCTGTAACTAATCAAGCTACTGCAAACTTACACTTCATAATTAATCTCATGATCACTAGCGACTGGCCCTATACAGGGCGTCACCTAGAGTTCTAATGAGAAGTCGCAACCAGTGGGGTTCACCATGTTAGGTGAGAGAACAGTTGCTAACCAATAACATAAGCTGGCGGCTGCGTCATATATATATAGCTAATTGGCAGGAGTTAGGACTTATGCTCCATTGGATCTGGCCTAAATGGTTGATTAGTCTACTAGCTTGCCATATGACCGGTAGGCTCTGAGTTCAAACTCCGGCGGGTGCCTGCTGCCAAAGGTTCACAAAATAAGATGAAGCAGTTATCCAGTTTTTCTATTCCTTTACGCTCCCAGTGGATCATAGGACTTCAAGCTGAAGGCTTGAAGTTTCAGTAGCAGTGGTGTTTATTTTTACGGGATAGGGTTGCTAGCCTAATGCCCAACCTTCCCTCTTTACCAGCTTTTTTATTTCTGGTAAAGGAGTGCGTCGGCCCGGGGTTGAACCCCGGACCATGTGCATGGTCGGCGAGCGTACTAACCGCTGTGCCACCGACACACAAAAAAGCCGTCAACACCCGGTATTCCCAGCCAGTCACCCATGCAAGTAATAACCGGGCCCGACGTTGCTTAACTTCGGTGATCGGACGAGAATCGGTGCTTTCAACGTGGTATGGTCGCCAACGAAAGGAGTGAGTCAACTGGGGATCAAACCCCGGACCACATGCGTGGTCGGCCAGCACTCTACCGCTGTGCCACCGACGCATGTTATCCGGTGCTCTTCGGTTTTTCAATGGTTCTCTAACTGACACCAGCTCGTGATCAAGCCTGCAAATAATCAAATTCCTACAAAGTTATTCTTAATGAAAACATACTTTGAGAAATGCGACATCTTACAATCATATTTAATGTTCTCTTGAGTAGTTTCACAGTAAAGTTCTAATACTGATCATGAGCGTATAAGGTGAAAATAAACTTGTGAACCATAAATCAGGATTCAAGTGATCCTACTGGTGTTATAGTAGTTAGGTAAAGATAAACATATAGAAACAGAAGTTCTACTAACACGGATCTGTTGTTCGATCAGTGAAACCTGACTCTTTCAACGGAAATTTAAATTCACTCCCTAATACTTCACTTATTTCACAGTTAATAATTATGATTGGGTCTGATAATATCTGTTTAGCTAAGAAAAAAAGTAGATTTTGAGATTATTTGTCGTTCAGTCATAATATGCAATACTTCAAACACATTTATCAACTGGAACAGCATCGCTTTCAGTCTAATCTCCTTTTTCATCTTTCGCCTATTAGATCAAACTATTTTCAAAACAAATTCACATATTTCTATCAAAGAAATCAAAGAAATTGCATAGGAAAAAATTTTAACAGAAGTAGCAACATAACTCACCAAAATTGGCTACATTATATTCAATAGTAAGAGTTAAATGATTTCTAACACTTTGGATTAATTTCACTGCCTCTTCACAAGTCAGTTGTCCCGTGTGAATACTGTTGATAGTGAGTATACGATCTCCGGGTTTGATTCGTCCATCACTTGAAATAATTAATTTGTTCAAAAAAAAGACAACAAAAGGTGAGTTACAAAATAGAAATTTTCGCGTTAGTTTATCTCAACCATCTAGTTATGAAATGTGAATTTATACCAGAATTTAATGTAGCATAGTTCAATGAAATCAGTGTTAGCCTGAATGTTATGCAGGCTTCTAAATGGTAGCCTACAGGGATGAAACAAGTGGATAGTTCAGTGATAAGGTATTTGATATAAGTACCAATTTATTATAACCTGACTTCCTTGATATATTAAAAATATCTCTATGATGTCTGCAAACAAACAGAATACCTAATATCAGTATTTTTCAGGGACTTATTTTTTAAAACAAATACATAAATGTCTTGATAATACATGTATTAAAATAATTCCCTTGGGTTCCGAGTGGAGCATATGGATTCAACAACACATCTCCACTTTCTTCCATTTTCTGCTGTCCCTTTCATGTGGGCCAAAGATTGCCCAAACTCTCTAATCTCCTCCTCGCACGATCTCCTGTATGTCACCGTAGGATGACCCATTTACCGCTTGACATTGGGATTCCACTCGAGCTATGGCTCACATTGCGCGCTATGTCATTTGACGGTCTCCCCAGCGTGTGTCCGATTCATCTCTATTTTCTCTTAGATATTTGTTGAGCAGTCGGTTCTCGGTTGGTTTTTTGCCAGAGCTTCTTGGCGCCAGCCATTTTATCTTCAGTATAGAGCCAGCGAAGGCAGCTGTTGACAAAAGTCTGTTGGAAATCCTTTTCGTGACATGCAGTGAAGGTTTCTGACCTCTAAAGAAGAACTGACTGACTTCACATTTTATAATACATGAGCTTTTGTTGAAATACAACACTTTTTGTACTTTTTCTAATTATATTAATCCCTAAAAGAAACTAGTATAGGTTAGACTGGACTTATTTATCAAGCCTCGAAACTGTGGTTTCCCCCCATAATATCCAAGAACGCGACTGTATATTCCATGTCCTCTAAGGCTTGAGTAAATGCACTTTCATTTTGTATCACTACTTCCACTTTAAATGATTTCTATGCAGCAAAAATGTTCAAAGCTACATGATAAAGCGGATTTTTCGTATATAATCTTCAGCTTTACAACTATGTACATTCTGGAAATAAATATCGCAGCTTATATAGAAAGAAAAAACCTACATACCTTGATGACAGTGTGAAAATAAATACCCTAGACAAAATTCATTAGGTGATCATACGGTAGTATACTTTTCGAATCCACAATTTCTTTCGTTAGAATATGTTACCTTTTTATCCTCATTCTTATACATTCCGAGTGGAATATGGAGCTTCACGCTTCAGCTTTAAAGTTCGCCTAACGGTGTTCGTACGGGGTAGGATTGCTTAACCCACGCCAAACCTCCCAACTTCACTGGGCTTAATACTGGCTAAGCGAGGTTTAGGAGTGGTTCGACTGGAAGTCGAATCTGAACCTTTTAAGTGGTCGGCGAATATTCTACCCCTGAACTATTTAACCAGTGAAATATAAACTATAATTTTATTCAACCTGTTTGTAGACAAAGTTTGGTTGTCTTTATAGTATATTATATATTATAATAAATATACTGAAATTTCTGGTTAAATTCATTATGGTGGCATCCATGATCGTAAAGGTAAGAATTTCCTGACCGTGTTCTATTTAGCAATATTCATGTCATAATAACTTCAGTCAAGTTATTTGTACTCAATAGATTCTTGTCATTTCAATATTAACATTATCAAACGGATCAGTAGCCTTAAACACTCCCTCCGCTAACTTATGTTAAGCTGAAATCGCTCTATTCACTGTACATTTTAAAACAGTTTAACCATCAGCAAAACTGAATTACGTCAAAAAATACGACATATACTTTGACAGTAAAATTTCCGAACTTCCCACTTTTATGCATACATTTACAATAGGTAGTGAGTGAGTTTTAATTATCTAAAATTATGCACTAATATATTTTTCTCATTGTAGGTGTATGCATTAGAAACAAGGTAACTAAATTAATATTTTTGGTGAACTAACTGATGGTTTTAAGTGTATTAGAATGATATTCACAGAGAAAAGAGAGCATTCACATGGAACTTTTAAAGACGCAGAATATTCACTGAATAGTTACAGATATATTATTATTATTATTCCCTTGGATCCCCAATGGAACATAAGGATTCAATAGTACATCTCCATTTTGCCCTGTTCTCTGCAGTTGTCTTCATCTGGCTGCACGTTTGTCCATAGGTTGTCATCTCCCTCTCACAAGATCTCCTCCGTGTCACTCTCGGACACACATCTTACTCGTCGTTTCCCACTCAGGTTCCACTCGAACGTTGGTCTGGTGTGCAAAGTCACTTATCGTGTGTCCCATCTATCTCCACATCCTCCTGCCAATATTTTGGGTAATAGATTCTTAGTCGGTTCGTTCCCAGAGTCCCCTATTGCCAATTATTTTTTGGCGGTTATCTGATGTGTAGTATGAAGCTACAGAAGGCAGCTGTTGATGAAAGTCTGAAGCCGATTGAGAACGTTTTTCACTTTGTCTCAATTCTCCGAACCACACAGAACAACTGAATTTACATTGGTGTTAAAAATTCATATCATGTTCTTTGTGCTAACTGCAGAATATTCCTAGTGTGATTTCAGAGTCGTGAATGTCTGCCTTGCCTTTCCAATTCTGATTTTAACGTTCTCATCTGTGCCTCCTGTAGTTGAGACGATGTTACCCAAATAAGTGAAGGAATTGACCTTCAAACTTCTCACAGTGATAGTGATTAATGTCCGCTTTCTTAGGTTAAGCATCTTCATCACCCTTGTCTTCTCTGTGTTTATTTGAAATCCTGTCTTCTCCATCAGTCTCTTCTGGCAGCTTATTGGTTTTTGCTTGTTTGTTTGACATTAGACATGAAGAAAGCTGTATTATGCATATAGCAAGTTCTACGATTAAATTGCCTATGAATCAACTGTTACCATCTAGTTAAGCATTAAGTACAGATTTATAAGATATTTCGCAAGAATAATTAGTGACTGGTTTAACACTTTGAGATCATCTGAATTCATCAGTGAACAGTTTCTGAAAACAGTCAACTACTATTGAATTAACCATTCATCAAAGGATATTTGTCTGAAGTGCCCTTGTATAACCAACATCCAATGCTGAGGTCAGTGAGCATATAAAACTTAGAGTGTTCTTCAACATCTTATCTCCTCTTCTAATAAGCATATTGTTTGTTACAGGATTTCATCATGAGCTGATATTGGTTATAGAACCATTGGAGAACCTGAGAGTACTCGACGTCTGCTTTGTCCTATTCTGGGAATGCAGTGGGTGCGTAGTGATGAAGAGTCTCAAACCAGGATGAAGCAGCTATCGAGTACTCTCAGGTTTTCCAGTGGTTCTCTAACCAATGTCAGCTCATGATTAAATCCTGTAACCAATCAATCGAATCCCAACAAACCGAAACTTGCATCTTGTTTGTGCTTTTTAACTTTAAACTATTAAAAAACTGTTTTTAAAAGAAATAGCAGTACAAGGTATAAACGTTCCAATGGATTTCTTTGTAAGTGTCTAGAGAGAAATTTCGTCTTAAAAAGGAGTTCATCGAATTTTTGCATAGTCGTATCTGGTGTTGTTTTTCATGGTATGAAGAAGAATCCATTGCTTAAAGGTAAATATTTATCACCCTCTTTTCCGTAACTAGTGTCAAATACTATATGAATTTAGTGCTACTAATTATGAGTCATCATAAGTTAGAATATGACAGGCCTAGTATTTTTAAGTTTATAGAATGAAGGGAAGTGGAATGCATGATTCATCTGTCTTTGAATTCCACTTATAAGAAAAACAATTCATTAATCCTGTCAAAACAGCTGACACGTAAACAATGCTGAACAGACTATCAATCTACAATCAAGGTTCAAAACTATGTGCACACATTCAAATCGATTCACTATAAAACTGTGGATAAAAAAAGTTTAAAAGAAAGAAGTAACACAGTAACCAAAATTAAGAAATTTGCAGAATCAGAGAATAAGAGACTTTCTAAATGGAAACCTTTATCTAGGAAGTGTTTAGACAGTAAACCTATAAAATTGTATTCCCTACTTAAAATGAATGTTATTCATCAAGTGTTGGGCTTGTGAGAACTTGTTTTATTTCATGGTAGGTTTCGTCACCAAAGCGATGGTGGCCTGCTTAAATAAGCTAGATTTTCTATCCATCAAAATACCCCGTGTTTAATCATCTAATTGGCGCAAGGGGGCATAAACTATACTCGCGCAAAATTTTAAATAGGTTTCTAACTACCTTTAGGAATTTTGAGAAGGAAACCACGAAAGGACATCGTGAAGTAATAACTGGAGCAAGTTTCAAATGAAAAAATATTGAAAACCAGGGAGTACTGAACACTCATTGGGGTTCGAACCCAGGATCTTCCGCCTACAAGGCAAGCTCGTATACCATCTAGCGACTGGGACAGGATTCAATGGCCCGCGAATTCTAACTTCTAGCAGTCCGTGGTCAAACTCGCAAAAAAGATCTAATCATTACGAAGCAACTGCTGGAAAAATTTGGCTTTGGATAATATATCATCTATTATTATATTATCTTAAGATTCTGTAGACTGAGTAAATAACTGCGGTGAAGTTCCCTGAGATTTTTGTATTGTATATAGGAGCATTTTTTAGAATAAAGCTATTATTATAGCAGAACCACTGAAAAACAAGAAATAGTGGAAACTAATGAAGAATTATTCCTGTTATTTATATCAATTTAACGAAATTGAAATTAAACTTTCGATCTTAATTAAGTTTATTTGACTTAGCACACAGTAATAAGGTAATGAAAACTGGATGACATTTCGAGTACTATTTATTGCTCGTTAACATATCAATGCATTCATACGACTTCATAAGTTGCTTTATATATTTACATTCCCACCCTTCTGTTTTCTATTTCACTTTTCATATATTCGGTAAAGACTTTGCGTCA